TACCCTTACCCTCGCCACTTTCCGTTGAACTAGCTGTCTCCTTTTTTCGAGACAGCTAGTTCAACGACCCTCTTGTTCCCCCAAAAGGCGTTTTTCGAAAGAAACTGAACGAGCCTCCTTCCGCTTGCCATTTTTGGAGGGGATTCGGGCAACTCTTCATTTTCTGCTGTGGAAGCGCCCGTATGCCACTCCAATTGTGAAAAATGAAAAACGAGAACAATTGTATTCCTGCCATTTATAAATGCATTTCTCATTTGAGATTGAATTAAAATGATTTTTTTAGCTGTCGCACCGTTGAGCTACCTCAACTAAACGGTGCATATGGGACATGGTCCCTGGGCCAATTAAAAAAAAAAAAAAGGGACTGAAAAAAAAAAAAGGACTTCCATAGCGCGTCAGAATTTTACATCGGACGTCTCACGCTATGCGATGCAAAAACACTAACGTGGGCCATCGCAGATGCGAGAGTCGGCCCCGCGGCCTACTAACTTTTATTAGGGTTATTAGATAATAATAATAATAATAATAATAATAATAATAATAATAAAGCATAAACACCACCACTGTAATCAGACTCAACTTCAACTTCACTTCCAGCATGCATAGATACAGATGTAGATGGCAGAAGAACTTCCACAAAAGCAGATTCGGCAATAAGCGTGAGATGGCGCTTGGCGCCCACACAGAAAACTCAGAGATATGGCCTCTGGCCAGGAACTCAGCTTTAGTCAACTTTCACAACTTGCGGCTATGGCCGCTGAACGCTGTCTGACGCTCTACACTGGCGGCTATGACCGCCGTCTCCCTCTTATCTTCTACCTAGCGGCTATGGACGCTGTCTCCTACTTCCTGCCCACTTCGCCTTCAGGCATCTGCAGACCTCTCAACGCACAAGACACTCAGGCAGCGCTTCCGCATCGTTCGCAGAATGAATGAATGGCTGGGCGATGCCTCTTTATTTATACTGTTTCATCAATGGTCTGGCCTGCCTTCGAAGCCCAGGCCCAAGGATTGTGCTGTCCCACCTGGTACTTGCTGACTGGACGAAGTAGACTGGGACTCGGGACTGGGTAATCCTGACTGGACTAGGTCTGACCCTACTTTGCTGACTCAACTACAGCAACTGACTCCTACAGCCTCGAAGGGCCAACTTAGACTGTTCTAGAAAGTCCTACGTACTCCTACATAGGCTACGTAGGACTGACTCTTCGAGATTGGTAGGGCTAGGACTTAGGACTGACCCTAAGATGGCGAAAACAAAGGCCTACGGTTCAAAACCACGTGACCTACTTTCACCTACAACACAACATACGACTTTTAGAGACACCTACAACACAACATACGACTTTTAAGGACAGGTCGCGGGCTCGAAGCACACGGGGTCAACGTGCACTGTGCAGAGGGTAGGGTTTAGGTCTAGGGATCGAGCCCTGGGATCTGCAATTGCCATGCAAACTGGGTGAAACCATTTCACCACACTCAATCTGCTCCATACAATTGAATGGAGTTAGACCCTCTATCCTCGCTGAATCTTAGAGGCTTACGCCATCGGCATGGAGTCCGATGGGGATACGTCTGCTCTACGTCAGCACCGCGAATGACCGAGTACAGAAGTTCCACTCTTCAATCGATGCAATGAATGTTGGCAAACCTGCTATCAGTTGCATGGACGTTGTCTCTCCAAGATGACACTCCAAGCCAGGTCTTGCAATTGCTCACTTCTTCTTGGCTCCTCTGCCCCGTCTCACCCCCGTCTTCAGTGCAACAATCCATTCTCCGTTTCCAACTCAGAAAAAAGTGAGCATTTCAAGATATGCTTACTTCTCTAGGATCCTGCATGGTGGCTCCTGAAAGGCATATCCAAGCAGGCTGCTCTATGTGGTTGTCTACCTCTCTCTCTCTCTCT